CCCGCCCGCCCGCGCATCGCCGTTCGATAAGGGCACGGTCGGAGTGGAGCCGTGTTCGCGTTGGGGTGAACTCGGCTGTTTACGAGCGAATACCGGATTAGGTGGCTCAGGGAATCAATTCATGGCGATGCAGTGCCTCTCACCGGAAAGTTCTAGGGTTCCAGTCCACACGCTGGCACGATTTTCAACAAAAATAGATAGTCAAATTCAGTCGCTGTCTGTATTCTAGCGGGTGGCTGATCTCTTGGATAGTTTTCTGTGGTTTCTCCGATCAACACCAGACGAATGCCGGAGCGATACCCGACACAACAAACACGGGCACGGACCGTCGAGATTTTCTTTCCTCTTCCTTGTCCTATCCTCACTCCCATGCTTACACTTACACTAACGTGCACTTCACCACTAAACATGTCGGGAGCTTAATTACAGTCCCAGCTGGGGCCGTGCTCCGCTAGTGGGAGCTACCTGCTTGAGGAAAACCCCGCAATCCAACGTGTAGATGAGCGTGAGATTTCACCATCTAATGGGGAAAGATCACCGCCATCTCCCGTGATAAAAACGTTCACTACACTTACTGGACTAACGCTCGCATCTGCTGACGTGCCCGGAAACTCTAATCAATCAATTCAAAACGAGCGAACATTTCAAACACTCAGTAGAGCGAAGGCAAGGTCGGATTGCGGCTGAGCGTTCTAACGAACACGGATGAATTTTCAAGTAGGCGGAACGGCATCAAATGCACTTCAGTTATTCGGCCGAACTGAGAACTTCAACATGCATATAGATACTCTTGTTTTGTTAATTTATTAATGCGAAACTCTGCGAAAAATCTTCGCTGAAACTACTGCATACTATTTCACAAGAAATGGATGACTGGGTTGCTAATAGTTTCTGCTACACACGAACCCAACCGCACTATCGCTCTGTAGACATGAAGTTTCTTTTATTAAAGCATTCCTCGTGTTATCTCTAACATAGCTCTCACCCTGCAGTTTTAATACTTTTGCTTCCATTACTTGTCACATAGGTAATGATTCGAAGGCGAGCGTCTGCCGCAGTCGAAAGCAACGTGACTACTACCGTTAGCCCAATCAGTTAGTCGATCCAGCACCGAACGTTTCTTTGGACGAGGTCTGTTCCGCTTGCACCGTTCCCCAAGAGCCACTTCGCGAGGATCAATCGCCCTCCTTCACCCAGCGAGCGGAGAAGCTTTGATACATCGGCGGCCCCAAGGCGACTTTCGCGGAACGCCTCGGGAGCAGCGTAGACACCTTGGGAGAGAACCGCGAAAAATAGCAATACATTTAGAACGGATTTGTATGTCTTTTTTCAATCACGGAAAAGACCTCAGCTTCTGTCTCAGCGTCATTTTTTCAGTTCATGGTAACGTTGCAACAAATGCAAGCTGTGGAACGTAAAAAAAATCGTTTCGACACCTATTGACATCTTCGGTTGCGATGACGAAGTGCCGAATCTTACATCCGTTTACTTCAACAAAACTATTATTGAATTGTATTTGAGTTTGTACATTTTATCAGCAATGGGCGTCAGTTGACGCTCCCGTGCCCTCAATTCATACCCCTGCCTCTTTGACACCCTAGAGACCCTTGACTCTAGCCTACACTCCTTAACTGCGCAGTGGCTCGTAATTTCATCTCGGCCGAGCATCTATTCTTCCCGCTATAAGCCCACGGTGGAGCTTGAACCCTTTTACTGAAGTTGGGGGGTTCGAAGGCGACCAGGAGGCGCTCGCATTGGGGGTCTTAAACCCATTACGGAGTTTTATATAAGATAGAGATGAATTCATTTTAACTGCAATTCAGTCTAACCAGTAGTCAGTTAATTACTTAAATGATGTTATTTAATTATTTACAAGTAATATAATAATAATGGGAATAATAATTATATAATAATAGTAATATAAAAACTAATAATTCGTAAAACATTAAATTACATGAGGAAAAATAACAGAAACGTATATAATCTAAATCCGCACTGTCCTTCACTGCACCGCCCTTCACTTTACTGCACTTCACTTCAGTGTATAACCTAATATTCTTAGTTAAGGCTTGATAAACATATTTATATTATTATATTTTTTATATGAGACGTAGAGGGATTTAAGAATCGATTTTTCTCAATCACAAACAAATTCTGAAGCAGTTGATGGGTGTCGAAATTGAAGAAAGCTTTTTTTTCTACATTCTGTTGTTTTCGTTTCGACAACGATGACAATTAAAATTATTTTTATGGTGGGGGTGGGGTCATTGACACCGCTATTTTTTCCCTTTTGGGTTATTAACTCTAGAGCCACACGTACATAGTATTTACCAACACAAGCGCACGCTAGCGTTATAACGAACGTGGGACTCGAACCTGCATATCTTCGAGCCTCGGTAATTGGGCACTCCCGCCTTAACAACCTCCTATCCGGGTCGCCCAAAGCGGATTTTAAAATTATTTATTTTTGTATAGCAAGTAGCTCCTCTTGCATGGTTAATGATAGCCATGTGGCTCGTGCCTGTGGGAACCCTAAAACTGTACATGGTCTTGCTGGGTGTGATTACATGTCCAAATTACTAGACAACACAATAGATTCTGCCAAATAACACGTCAGGTAATGACACCTAAGAACAGACAGTGCGAAAGCAGAGAAAAAGCCTGAAGTCGGTGATATATTAAGAACGTTTGGTAAACATTTACAATTTTAGTATTCAAAATAAGACAACACAACATGAACTTTTGTGTAGCCATTTCCCTTTCGAGTTTTCATTAATAAAATGCATCATCTCTAGGCTCCTATTATTTTGTGCAAAGAATGCAGAGCACGAGTGTTTCCACTCTTACCCGTTCCCTTCACGCACAAAAATGTGTGCTCTGGAGCAGCTGACCAACAAACGGGTTCTCAAGATTCATCATGAGTGTAAGAAGGAAATAAGGAGCCTACATTATTCATAACTCGACGAAGATTTTTATCACAAATTAATACAAGCTTACCCAAAATGTAGTTAGGAAATGCAATGTTTTCTTTTTTTAACTACAATTAAAGATCAGGGATTACTTTTAAAAATTATTTATTTCAAAATAACTGTAGACGTAGCGTCGCACACAAAACAGAAACACTACTAATCCTTGGCAAAGTTAACTTAAGGATTGGAGGTAGCCTATTTCAAAATGAACCACTCCACTTTTTTTAGAATGTTTCTGTTCTGTTCAACAAAGAGTATCTCTGAATTGCTGATTAGATAATAATAAACCGATAAGGAGAAGGATTATTTCCGTTCTAAAACCAATTAGTACAATTTCATACTGAATATTTTTTTTCTATGATCGCTAAAATGATCGCTTCTTCAGCCTCCTAAATGTTTAATTGATTTAAAATACTGTTATGAAAGAAATGAAGTTAAATTTAAAAAATTCACGGTACTATAACACTTCTTCCAAGAAAAAATCGTTCAAGAATTACATGTAATAGTTGTATTTATCATTTCTCAATTCCTTCGTCACAAAGCGCTGAGTAACTACTTGATGAAAAATTACTCCTATTTCTCGGGCGACGTAAGGTAGTCCTAGGTGCCATGAGGTTCTGTATAACCTCGGCCTCCATAACCTCTATAACAGTTTCCATAACCTTGAATCATGTGCGACCCAGAAGACGCCGAGCGCGCCAAGTGGTCTGACGAAAACCGCAAACGTCGCGAGCGTCCATAACCCGTCAAAGCAAACACTATCCAGTGTCGCCAGGCGGAAGGCGGAGGCAGGACGGAGGCGTGCGCCAGCGCGCTGTTGCGGGCGCCGCCCCCGCCCCCGCTCCGCCCCCGCCGAGCGGAGCGGCGGTGTGAAAGTTGCGCAATGGGGCCGCCCCCCGCCGCCCGCGGGACCGGTTCCCCTTCGCCGAGGGCGGCCGCTATGTGGACCACCGGCCAACCCCCCCCCCCGCCCCTCAATGCCCTGACGACTCATCCTTATTCCTCTTCCCTTCGCACTCTTGTCCCTTTCGGCTCCGTTCTTTTCTTTCCTTATCTTCCTTCTCCTGCTCAATCGCCGCCATTGACTAAGGAGGTACATCATTACTCTATGCATAAGCGCCACACCAGCAACACACACACACACACTACACACACACACACACACACACATGTATGTGATATATATATATAATATATATATTAATATTATATATATATATATATATACATATATATACACATATATATACACACATAATTACTCTATGCCTACCATCTCGTCCTTTTCACCCTCTTCTTTTTATCTCTTCTTTTCCTTCATCTCCTTCTTAACATAATTCTCCTCCTCCTTCTCATCCACATTATCTTCTTCCTCTTGCTGCTCCTCGTCCATCTCCTCCTCCTCCTCTTCCTCCTCGCCCTTTTCCCCCTTTCCTCTCTTTGCTCACTCCCTTCTTTCTCTCGTTCCTCTTGTTTCTTCGGCGTCACCACCATTGATCTCTGTTGGCTCACAGAGGTTTAGACACGGGAGCGGAATTAATTCAATAACTAGAAGCCCGTACTTGAAAAACTTCAATGTTTAACTAGAGGGATTCTGGAGGTTTACCAAATATATTTATTTTATTGTAATAAATTTAAAATATAAAACCAAGTGTTGCCATATCGCTTGAAATGTTTGAAGAATGGTATTTTAGAAGAAAGAACAATGACAAACCTCTTAAACGAAAAATTATTAAACACGAATAAAAATGTCTTAGTAAACAACTTATTGTGTATCTTTCTTGATACATTTCATTTCATTTTCTTCCACATATCAGATTCACAATTTCTTGCTTAACATTTTAAAATAATTTCTTAAATCATACGAGCACTTCCCATCCATCGAGGCACCTGGAATCGTGTTGAAGTAACCTGTTATTTGAACGGCCGCCGCTTTCGGTGCGTCCTTTGCCGCGAGAGCCGCTTCCAACCAGCGCCTTCCCGCGAATCCTCTTGGGCCCGTCGCCGGCGCTTCCTTGTGCTGGATGGACGCCTCTCCTTCCAGGCGCCTCGCGCAGTATGGGGATGTGGCGGACGCGGTTACTGCGAACTGGCGTGTGGCGGTGTGCGCGTGTGTCTGGCTGCGTGTCTGTGTACGTGTGTGTACATGTGTATTTACGTGTGCGTGTGTGTATATACGTGTGCGTATGTACCCACTGTGTGTACGTGTGTGTATACGTATGTGTCTGGTTACTTGTCTGTGTCTGTGTACATGTGTATGTATGTGTGCGTATGTACGAGTGCGCATGTATATTTGCGTATGTACGTGTGTGTATAAACGTGTGTGTATGTACCACTGTGTGTACGTGTGTGTGTGTGTGTGTATGTTCTTGGTTATCAACATCTGCAGACTTCTGTATGTTGTTTTTTTCGGTTTGTGTAACTATGGATAGCTAGCTCGTCCGACTGCCCTCCTTAAAATTGTACCGGGCGAAATAAGTGTAGTAGATTTGCTAATAATATCGTGCGAGTATATTTCTTAGGAAACAGAATGTTTATTTTTGATCTCTGTGTGTTCAGAACATATCAGAAAATTTAAAAAGAAACAAATAAGTTTATCTTGCACCTCAATACCCGTATTGTTTATTATTTTCCTTTTCTATTTAAGATTTTTTCCACTCATATGCTATAATTAGGTGTTATTAATTCCCACTTTTATATTAAACTCCTATTAAGATATATCATAATCAAAGCAACTTGCACTGTGAACGGAGGGATATCATGAGTCATATTTTATTGTTTGTTATAAGATATGTCTGGAGAAAGGATCTACTCTTAATATTGTCTCAAAGCTATCCACGAGAATCTAAATGTGAGTGTTTTCGCTATAATTAGGTGTTATTCATTCCCACTTTTATATTAAACTCCTATTAAAATATATCATAATCAAAGCAACCATACAGCGACTTGCACTGTGAACGGAGGGATGTCATGAGTCATATTTTATTGTTTGTTATAATATATGTCTGGAGAAAGGATCTACTCGGAATATTGTCTCAAAACTATCCACGAGAATCTAAATGTGAGTGTTTCCGCTCGCCGTTGCAACGCACGTGTCTCTCTCATCAGCAAGCGCCTTCGCCCGCAGGTACCAAGCGCAGTCCAAAGTGAGCCAGCAAGCGCCGCCGCTCGACAACTTCTACATGCGCCACAAGCAGCAGGACTTCAAGGTGTTCCACCAGATCCCGGCGTCGTCGCTGCTGCTGACGCATTACGACCCGTTCTACAGCCCGCTGCTGTCGCGCCTAGACAGCGTGTTCACGCAGCTGGGCTACACGTCGGAGGCCTGCCGCGAGCGCCTCGTGTGCGCCATGTACAGCAACCCCGCGCGTTTCGCGCCCTACTCCAACCTCGTCTCCGCGCAGCTCAGCAGGTGGGTCGCCTAATCACAGCGCTCCTACACGCGCTTTCAGCAAAACAGATGTGGCTTTCGTGCATTTTGCTAAAGTGCCAAATGGTACTTGTTCACTATTCAGAGATCGACTTCTTTTGCTAATTAGCAAATTGCATTATGTTTGGAGTATTTTATTACTTATTGGTGTATCCAATACACCAATAACTATTATTATCAATATTAACATTACAATCGTCTGCAGTCTAAGTCGCAGCTCAGCAGGTAGGTCGGCCAATCACAGCGCTCCCACACGCGCTTTCAGCAAAAAAAGTTCTGGCTCTCATGCATTTTGCTAATGTGCCAAATGGTACTTGTTCACTATTCAGAGATCAACTTGTTTTGCTAATTTGCGAATTTTATTTACTCGTGTTTTGCATTTACTTACTTTGCTAATTTGCAAAATGTTACGTTACTATTCAGTTATCTGTTTTTCTAATTAGCAAATTGCATGACATTTGGAGTATTTTATTACTTCTTGGTGTATCCAATACACCAATAAGTATTAATAGTAATATTAATATTAACATTATAATCGTCTGCATTACAATAATGATCTGTGGATACATGTTTTTTTTATTACTTAAAAATCTTATGAACGTGTCTTGTGCTTGGTGCCTTGTGTCCCCCCTCTATACAGAAGTGCAGGGCTGTGGGAGGGGAGAGCGAACTACCCCTACTCCAGAATTGAAGTTGTTGAACACGACGCAGCCCCTCCCAAATATTAAAAAAAATACGATAAGTTTTATACGTGTGTCAAATTCCTTACAAAACCATTGACCATTTTAAGGCAAACTTTTTCGAGTGGTAAAGTGAAATAAAAAGTAATGTTTTATCACTATTTCATAATACTGTACTGTTACATCGACGTGACACAGTTAGTGGAAAAACAATCAGCTACATTTATGATTTAAGAGTCCGTCATACGTTAAGGACACACAAAACAAATGCATTGTAGTTAAAGGGGGCTTTAGAGTACACTTATTCCAAGAAATGGTATTTTTTGTTGATATGATATTTGTCTTGCAAGAAAATGTATCACGAAAAAAATCTAATCTTCTCCGGCCTAATAACCTTAGTATCCGTATTTTTCTGTTGTCGGAGGTCTATACATTGTCCGCTACACTTATTTACACATAAGACGAGTAAATACGCTCAGTGAATTGAAATAACAGTGTGCAGAGACTAAATTTTTCAGAGATTTTAAAGTATTCCCCACGCAACAACTTCAAAATGATACTTTTTTTTTAATATTCTTCAGGAATAAACACCTAACTCTTCACTCCGAAAAGTTACTCATTGTTAGGTTTTACCCGTTGATTTTCTTTAGTTTTTAATTTTAATTTATTTAATTTTTCTATTTTATTGAAACAAAAGCGAATTCAATGGGACGTAAACATCAACTTGTTAGTGAAGATTCGTCGCCAACGTCTGCAAAATGAAACGAAGTATTCAGAGATCCAGATACCGTGTGTTCGTGATCATCTTGTGCTGAGGTGGTGACTTCCGCAAAGAACAATCGCCATATCCGGCTGGAAACCGGCCACTTAAGCCCGTTTACGAGGCCGTGTGATGAAACAGAAGCATCTAGACACCGGCGACATGTGTCGTGTTGGGAACTCGGCTAGCGCCATTCTGAGAAAACCCTCCGCCATCTCATCTTCCCACGCCTCTTAGCCCTCACACAAAGTGGTGCGACTTGTTGAGGTTTCCTCCCAAGATTTAATTTGGGTCAGGGTCGCCTGCTGGAGGGAAGTGTCTGTAATTTGGGGCGAGATTTGCGGGTGCAGTTAGCTTTTCTCTTTCTATGTACGTGCTTAAAAGCGTTTGTTCAACGCCACATGAGGTCGAGTGTGCTCTTCCTGTGCGTTTGAGCACGCACATACGCCTACATAAGTGCAACATTAATAGAACGCAATGTAGGAAAGGAAATGCTAGAAAGTTAACGAGTGTTGTTAAGAGCACTTAACGCATTCGATACACTTTCAGTTAGCGCCCATCTACTACCATATCTATTACGTAGGAAAGCAGCAATGTTTAATGTTTAACTTTGTTCTTTTTTTTAGGTAAAATGAGTTTTTAAAATTTGGCACTGGTACCTTTTGTCTATTTTTGTTATATTTTATTCAAAACTTTCTGGTGGACTTGCATTGTCACCTTTTGTCAAGTTAGTGTGTTGAAAATTTAGTTCACTCAAAAATCGCTATTATTTTGAGCTTTGAAATTGGTAGGGTAGGGGGCATTTCAAAACTAATAAAAGTAGGTTTTATTAGATTCATAATGCATATATGAATAAACGTATTTACGAATTCGTAATGAAATAAAAATGAAACATCATTTTATTATTATCATTATATTAAAGCTAATTACTTTATAAAGAGAAAGAAGTATTCCCTTTCGTTCACTGCGGAGTATAAAAAGAGAAAAATGTTTTCAAGTGCGATGTACGTCAAAATTAATGGTAGTGTGTTGGTATGTTGAATGCTGAAGCGGAGCTGTTTTATGACCATGATAAGATTGTTTTGACCAGCAGTACTCAAACGAAGTAGCCCGAGATATTTATATGAATTTTCAATTTTCCAAGTAATCTTTTGTTTGAAGAAGCGGGTAGTTAACCTATTTCTTTTCATAATGTCGGTCGACGTCTAATAACGAAGACAGGCCACTTAATAATAGCGTGTGTATTACTTGAAACACTCTCGCTTCTAGTCACGAACGGAGTCCGTGACCAATGCCCGTGAACTGAAAATTTCAACGTCTCTTCGACTCGTGCTTATAATTCGTAAGTTACTCTTGACTTTCTTTTAGCGTTTGTTTAAAATTCAGCTTGTTAATTTATAGGTTACATAATTTACAGCGTTGTTAAGCAGTTACATTTCGATCATCAGTTTTTAAAAATATTTGAGAGAAGCAATACCTTCAGCTTTCTTAATTTTTTATTCAATCCTAATCTTGTACATTGTGTGCGATATCCAAGTATGGGGGAAGCTACTGTACTTGTCAAAAAAGAAATTATTGTTAGAATTATGTTGCTGGTTATACATGAGGCTACTCCGCCCTGAAACATTTCCAATTGATAATATTTTTTGTAAGGAATAGAAGTTATGAAATCGCAATAAGGCATCTTCGTAGTTTTAACTAACAATTGAAATACCTTAAATGGGAAGGTTTTCGGTTTGTATATATAACAGTTATGAATAGAGTATAAATAGTAAATAACAAAAAATAGAGTATAAATAATTATACAAATAATGCTACTATGAAATGAAAAAAGTTATTTTCAATAAAACAGAAAGAAAAGACAATCAACAACCGTGTTTTCTTTCTGAAATATTTTATAATACAGATTACGCAGAATGCTTTAGAAAGCTACTATCGAAGACCTCGAAATGAAGTGAAGGGCGTTAATCGCCACGTCGAAACGTGAAAGAATGAGAAAGAATTACAGGTTCTACAGCCAAAGAGGGAGCGAACGAGAAAAAATAACAATGGGTCTACAACAAAAATTTCGAAGGACGTCCCTTCACTTGTTCAAAATCAGTTCAAAACATCTCTCAATACCAGGGGTGGCAAACTTCAATCAAGGACCGTATTTCTAGAAATTAGAAGGGACATGTAACACACAACAGGTTATTGCTTTGTATTCCTCGTTTTCATATTTTACATGTAATGGATTTCCGACACATTTCCAACTATTTTATACGGCCCTTTCATCATATTTGTTTCAGGAATTTATCATTATCTGCAGTCTAATTTGTACCTCATTATTTGAGACTATCAATAGTTATAACAAAGGGTTGTATTCAGTTTAATATTTATTCGTGTAGTTGTTAGAAACATATACGATATATAAAAAGTAGTAAAATAAATATTGTATTGAATACAACTGTGTGCTACTTTAGTGATTCTAAAATAATTAAGAATCAGTTATGAATATCACAACTATCACAATCAAACAAACACAAGCTTTCTTATTTATTAATATCTATTCCTTATATATTAACCTCCCTGATATATTAATATTATTAAGAAAATAATGAAATTTTACAGTGCAAAGCAATTGAAAATTGAAGAGAGCCATTACTTCTTGCTATTGCTGTTGTTGTGATCTGATGACGTGAGAACGACAAAACGACCACTTGTCTGCTGCCCGAGTAAGTGGCAACAATGCTCTACCCCCCCCCCCAACTGTCAAGTAGTTAAATATTACTCGGTTAGCGGGAGAGGTGGCTCAGGGCATCGACTGATGTCTCTGCAGTGCTTCTGTTCGGGAAGTCCTGGGTTCGAAAGCCGACGCTGGTAGGCTTTTGATCAATAGCTTATCAGCTTGGTCAAATTCGGCCGCTGTTTGGAGGAGAATTCTAACGGTCAGCTCCACTGACAGGTAGTTTTCCGTGGTTTCTCTGGTCAATGCCAGAGCCAGAACAGTACCATAACAAACACGCCACGATCTTTTGTTCCTCTTCCTTGCCCTATTCGCACCCCTGATTTGCATACACTTACCCTAATATACACTACATTTTCCACATATGCCCGGCTATCGATCGAGAGCTTACGAAGAGCTTCTCCTGGCTAGGGAGGTGCCAAGTTGGTAGGAGATACTTCATTGGGAAAAACCCTTTTCCCGACGGTAGGTCGGCGCCGGATCACGCCATTCGGCGGGGGAATATTTCCACCATCTCCCGAGGAAAAGCATCCACTACACTTACGGAACTAATTATCTTAGCATTTGACTAACAATCGATCAATGATTATTCGGAGAACACGGTGTGCCTCTTCAGTTGAGCCGGGAGCGCAACGCGCCGCACGCGGGTACGGGTCCCCCCTGGGCGTCCTGCATCGATGCTCCGAACGCGCTGCCAGTGAAGGCAGGCGGCGAGGGCGCTGCCGGGCGCTCCGCCCCCTGCGCCGCCGAATGTGGGGCGGTGGGCGAGCGGGCGATCGGGGCCGAGGCAGGAGGCGGCCCGCTCATTCACGTCATCCTTCCTCGAACGACCACGAGCCCGCGCCGCGCCTCACAGTGGTCCCAATCAGGCGCGAACTTTCATTTTTTTATAATTACTTTTATTTTTTTAAAAATTAAAATTATTTTTATTTTTAATTTTTTTTAAATTAGTTTTATATTTAAATTATTTTTATCTTTTAAAATTATTTTTATCTTTTTAAATTAGTTTTTTTTAAATTATTTTTCTTTTTAAATTATTTTTTTTCTTTTAAAGTTATTTTTGCTAGTTGGGTTTTTTTAACCTCGTGGCAGAAAACTAAAATTTACGTACTTCACAATTACACATGTTCGTACCCATTAATGTTCAGTAACGCCCAAATTAATTTTGTGCTCATAGACTCGCCAATTGTCGCCCACTCGTCCACGGTTCATTGTTGGAGCTCTCTGGCAGCATGTTTTTGCAACTTTTAGGGCCAACCACTTGCGCGGACCAACCACCCTTCGCTTTACTTTGCTTCTCCCTCCGACTTGCCCCCAGGCATACAGCAGATAGGCACGGTTTTAGATGAAGATCCGAAGTGATGCAAGTCATGAATACATCCTGGTCAGAAGTGTACCGAGCTGCAGCGATCACGGTTAAACCGATATCTAGCAAGCAGAAATAAAAACAAATTTCTTCAATGTTTCGTTTAGAATGTCTTCTTCTATTTTAAAAAAAATTAAATTCCTAACTATTGCAAAAGTAGCAAATTTGAGTTGATCAGAAATGTGCGTCCTCAAATGAAATTTTTTTTAGATGATGATGATAATAATAATAATAATAATAATAATAATAATAATAATAATAATAATAATAATAAAAATAGAAGATATATAATTAATCTAAAACTTAACAAAGTATTTGTTTTTCAATCCCAAAGTCCTAGACTGCATTACATTGAACTGAACTGCACGTGCTTTTTTTCGTATTTAATTTTCCATTCCACTATGCAAGTACGAAATAAATTAATATGTGCTATTAATTGTTTGCCGATAGAGTTGAACACCAAACGTTGGGAATCCTCGCAGCGAGAAGCAAGGGAATTGCTAGTGCGGCTCCCACAATGTCAGAATGTCTGATATGAAATACTAGTCCTGATGTTGATTATCAATATACTTCAGCATCTGTACTGTTTTTGAAACATTTAAAAATAGCATCAGCTATAGCGGGCAAATTCAAGATCAACCGTCCTATATTTTCCATTCCGATGCCTGAATACTTTTAACGATGTTCAACGTCATAAATGCGTTGCAGAATCGCCCAGCATGTACGACACTTTTTATTTATTCATTTCGAATTTGTGGCAACAAGGGAAGAATATTACATCAATGGAAAATCTGTTGCTATTTTATGTCACTAGGAACTCACTATCAGCGTCATATTGTGACTGTCATACGTCAAGCACAAAGACTTTTGGTGTAACGTAGTTTCGCTGAATTTAGATTATTGAAAGTCTAGTGCGAGCAACGTCGTATGGATTTACACTTTCGTATCTTCGGCGCACCGCAGTCTGTTGTTTGGTGTAGCCTTTCGCAGGACGCTTCGACAGGGCTCTGTAACAAAGAAGTAGTATTAGAGAAATCCGCCTTTAGCACATCTTATTTTTCCCACCTTTGTTGGGAATCTCGTGGACAACACAAGAGACTATGCTTAGCAGCTATCTTTGAAAACAAAATACGCGACTAGTGAAGAGATGTACAGGTGACTTGTGGCAGTTTAAAAAGATGTCTTAGTTTCGAAAACCTGTTGTTAACGGGCGTGGCTGGAAAGGTTGCTGTTCATGAGTAGAGAAGAAGTTCGGATCTGAAAGGAAAGTCATTTCAACGTCGCCCAGCTAACTAATTCTGATTGAAACTGCAACACATACGGCCTTTTACTAACATAGAGTGCAACCTGCTATTCAAGGAAATCGATAGAACAATGGTCCAACGTTATTCGGCTGTAGCACGAGAATGACTGTCCCCACAAGTCGAGAAACATGCAAGGCATTTACAGAGATTCATTTCAAGGCGCTGCGACACCCATAGTGTTCTCCCTACTGGTTAGCATCCGCGTGATGAGCATTTCGCCAACTTTCACGAACCG